TACATTTGTATTAGTGCATATATAAGAAGAACAGAAAAGAAAACTAATTTTTCCCTCAGTAAATTTGCTTTTATTACTCAACATAGACAACATAAATTTTATTGCTCTCCAAAAAATATAAAGGACTTCCAGTTTTTCTTTCTTGTTGTCTCTTTTGTTGCTTTTCCTTTTTGAAATAATATATTTGTGTTTATATAGCACAGTCACTTACACAAACATAAATGGTAATGAAAACAAAAAAAAAATATAAAGACTCAATTTTAATTCCAGCCAGGCCTATCAGCTAGCAGTAGAGAAATATTAAAAAGATTTTGTAAGAGATTATTATTTTGCCTATATTCATTTATATTTCTTACAGAGTTGCCATATAGTGTTTGGTATTTATGGAAAATTTAAATTCAATATTTTATCCAATTAAAATAAAAATAAATTATTACATAAAATTGATTGCATTAATGTGCTACTAATATATGGAAAATTGGACTAAATATTCTTGTTCTATATTATTCCTACTATCGCTAAATTTTAAAAATCAATTTTATTGGAGTTGCCATGAAGTTGAAGCTATGAGTAATTCTTATATTATAAAGTGCCGTATTCAAAATAATTTGATTTAAAAAGAAATAATTCTTTTTTAATTTGATGTTCTGTTTTTAATAATTTTACATATATTTGATAAAATGTAAATTAGCCAAAATGGTGCAGTGATTATTGTACTGGTCCTTTAACTGACGGATCTGTGATTCCAAGCCTGATTAGGTCTCTTTAAAATTTGTTTCAATATTGTATACATTACATATAAAATAAAAAATTAATATTAACTTGTGGCCATATTTCAATTACGTCCAATATTAAAAAATATCGGCAGAATAAAATAATAAATATCAATAATTTTAAAATATTTAATATAATAAAAAAGTACGGTAGGCTCATCATTATACCTGATAAACTCAAAGACTCAAGAAGCTGGTTCATGATTACCTACGATATCATGCACAAAAAGTAAATTTATTTTCATGACGGCAAGGATTGCAGAATTGTGCACTTTATTTTAATCATTTAAGAGAAAATAATTTTCAGTTAAATTATTAAGAGAATGTTAAATAGATTTTTAAGAGATAAGAGAAATTCGTTATTTTTTTTTTTCCTTTAACAGTATCGCAGAATTCTTTAATTTAACAAGAATTAAATTTAAGAATCTTCCAATCTCAACAAATTAGGAAAAAATAAATGTAACTGTTGTACTGTCCTGTTGTACTCCTTTTGCAAATGAAATGTTTTCTCTTTTATTTTTCGATACAGTAGATGTATAATATTTTTATCAATATTTTGAAAACATATACGAGTACCTTATATAATAATTTTATTCTTATTTTCAAATCTTTAATGTCCTTATTTTAACTAAATAAAATTATTTTAATATAATGTACACGTATGGTCTTTAATAATATTGTTATGTTAACTATATGTATACGAGTATATATATATTTAAATAAATTTGTTTTATTAGTATTGAGGAAATTTCTCTTTGTATTGGATGAAAAGAAAAAAATCATTTTCCAGAGAAAATATTTACGTACATAAAAATTTTACATGAAAATCAATGAAAAATGAATAAAAGAAGGAATATATGTAGTTTCCCTTACACAGGGAATAAAAAGTACATAAATGTTAAAAGTGAAAGCTTTTAATGTACATAAATGAAAGTGAAATCCAATAATAAAACAATCAGTAAATATTTTTTTGTTTTTTTATTTTTTTGTGGTTTTTATTATTATTACTAATGAATATTTCTTATTATGATGATTTTAATGAAAGTATTTAACTTAAGTCTTTAATTTGAAAGTGGATTTGGTGGTATAGAAAAAAATAAATTATAATTTAAAGTCTTATTTTATGGGTTTTTGTTTAAAATTTACCAATTTTTTGCTAAAAAATTTAAATTTTACTCAATTTATTGATCAATGGAAAAAAAATAAGTATGTGGAGCGATTGGGAATTTCTCAAGAATATAAAAATAAAGTTCTTCCTTTCTGCGTGTAGCAAAATAAAAAATTTTTTCTTATAGAAAATCAAAACGCTAATAAGGCTAAAATAATAATTGATTCTATACAAAATATGTCGCCAAATTATTCCTCGTGAATATTTAATCTCAACAAATCAGAAATAACATTATTATAATAATTAAATTTTCAAATTTTATAAAAAATAAAAAATGAGTTTTTTACACTTTTAACGTTAAAATTTTTGATTCCCAAGAGTTTTTAAGGAAAGATAAGAAAATTTAAGTAAAAAATTTTAAATGAAATTTTATATAAGATTCCTTTCATCTACTTACTAATACACATAGTGTAGAGTTCTACTTTCAATTTTAAGCATCATTTTATATTATTGTGGAAAAACGAAAAAAAAAAAATTTCAAGCTTTAAAAAAAATATATATAGGAAGCAAAATTTCGAATTTAAATTATTTTTTATTGTTGTAAACTTTTCTTCATTATCCTTTTTCTATTTCTTTTCTCTATAATTAACCTAAATTTTCTTTACAAAATTCATATGAATGTTACAATATTGTCTAACATAGAATCTTTACATAATACACGTATGTAATAAGACCAAATATAACCTCTCGTAGTACATTGACGTCAGTTTTTGCATGTTTAGCAACAAATTAATAGATGAGAAAAAAAAATAGAAACCGAAAAAGAGGAAGAACAAAGTATATAGAATAGAGGCATAAATTAAAGATTTAAAAGTTCCTTTTGTGCCTCTTTAAGTATATATGTATAATATGAATTCGAATATATATATGTATATGTATGTATATATACATACATTGTAATATTAATATTATTTAAAGCGATTTTTTTTACAATAATTTTTTCGCTATCACATTATGATGAATAATTATGGTACATTAATTTGTTTAATCTCAAATATTCTGATAGTTTTGGAACGTTAAACATATTTATGAGGTCTAATATCATTTTATTCTACATATACAACTTTATGTACATAATTAGTGATTAATTACTCTTAACATAATATCATATTTCTTATTTTCTGATAACGTATATATATATTACTTATTGTAATCACTAATTATTAAATAGTTTAAATTAAAATTTTAATTACTTTTTTAAAAACATAGGCTATACATAAAATAAATAGTGTCTATTTGAAAAGAATTGTAATTTCTTATTAGAAAAGTTTGTAACAAGTGAAAGATTTAAGTATGTACAATTTTATTCAGATTTTTATACATATAAATATAGGCAATACTTTTATGTTTGCAAACGGTTTCCTTATTCGAAAATGAAGTTTTTAACCCATTGCACTATGAAGTCACCTGACGTGACAAAAATATTTTTCTCTAAAACTCTGAAGTCACCTCCGGCGTAACAAAACAGTTATTCATGTATGCGCAATTCAATTATTGTTAGTATTGAGTGTATTCTCCAAGTAATTACTTCATATAAATAACATATCATTTCAAAGCCAGAAAAATTAAATCAGAGTTGTCCGAGAACAAATTGGAAAAACAATTATAGTGCAAAGGGTTAATATATATTCCTTTTAAATTGAAATTGCGTTTATGACATTATTTTTTTCCAGATTTAATGCTAGATTTTTCTTTGTTGTCGCTCCTATAAAATTGAATAATGATAAGCAATGGACAAAGCTAACAAACAATTTATTTATCGCAATTCACAATTTTTTACGAAATACTGCAAAAGTTTTTGAAATTCATCTAAAAATCATGAATTTCTAACACACTTGAAATCACTTTCAAATTTCATTGCTAAAATATTTAAAAATATTGTTACACTAATTTTAATTTAATTGTATTTTAATCAATTTTGAACAAACACTATATTTTTAAGTTTTAACTTTAATTTTTGCCATAAAATTTCAATAATTAAAAGCAATATCACTTTCATCGGCTAAATTTATTAACTGATTGTTTTAAACTGATTACTCAATTTCAATTTTAGCATGAAATTGTACAAATTTTTTATTGTTTCAGAAATTTTATATTAAACGGTAATTTCTCGTTTGTAAAAAAAAGAAAAGATTAATAAAAAATTAATTACGTAGTTAAGCTAAACGTCAAATTATTCAATATCAATGTTTTGACATTTGTGTTGTCACCTTTACAAAATGTTTCACTTCCAGTACTTGATTTTTTAATTTTTTTTATTGTTTTATTAAAATTCAGCCTTTCAAAACTTTAATTAGGTTAGTTGGTAATTTTATGTCACTGAAATTGGAGTAATTCAGTTTTCGAATTCTTCTCTTTAAATTTATACTCATTGAAATTATTGATAGAAAAATGAGATTGAAAAAATTTTAATTGAGCCATGACAAGAAAAATTTGTTAAAAAATTTTCATTATTTAAAAAAGTTATAATTAACAAAATGTCGAAGACAGCAGTAAGACTTAAATTAAGTAATAAATAAATAATTTATTGTTTAAGAATAAACAAAAATAGGTTTTAATTACAACATAAGTAAATAAGTTTTAAAATGTTTTGAATGTTTTGAATAAAGGGTAGAAATCGAAAAATCTACTTTAAATATTTGATGTAATTAAATTTTTAAGCAGATAGTCTAAAAAGGAAATTAATGGACATACTCATATAATAATTGTTGTAATTCATTTACCTAATAAGTTGTAATATATTTCATTTGAAATTAATTGTAACATAGATTTTAAGAATTAACGCTAGATATAAGCTGTAATATACTTGAATTGAAAAAATATTGTAAATTAATATAGTATTGTTATTTAATAAGCAAAATATTTTTTTCAGCTGCAATTAAAATAGAACCGCATTTCGCAGTTAATAAATTTAAAAATATTTCATAAAAATTAAATAAAAAAAAATTGAAATATTCTTAATTTTATGGTTTCACTTAAAAAAATTTTTTATGTCATGTAATATAAAATATTAATAAAATTTTTTCTTTTTTTTTTTCTCTTTAATTTTACAATTCTAGAGCACATCTCCATTGCCACCTTTAATTACAGATGATGAAAACAGTCAAGACACAATTAACATGAATTCAAATCAGATATCACCATGCACTTATTATAATCGGCCATACAGTTGCAGAAATGGATCAGCTCAATTAATACGTAATTGTGGAGCTAATCCAATGTTTGGTGGTCCAACAATGTTACCATCACCACCGATACCAGAATTTTTCAATACAACTAGAAAAATTGAATCAACGAGGGCATTAAAAGTTTTATCACCGAATATATGTAATATTGAAAATGATATCAGCAATGATAGTGGTATTGATGATGTCGGAACAAATGTTCAAAATTCATTTAAAATAACATTTGATGAGATGGCATTCGATTTGCAAAAGCAATTAGAATTAAATAATAAATCATCAATGGCAACAGAAATGGGCATAAACAATAAAAATGATGCATTTAAGAATGAATTAAATAAAACTATAACTGCAGCAAATAATTTAAATGAAAATGAACCTGGAGGTAATAATGATGCAATTGCATATAAAGCAAGTAAACCACCACCTGATGTTGCAACAAATAATAACTGTTACAAAAATTTCTTTGAAAATCAATCATTAAAAAGTGAATCATCTTCTATGGAAACTGAGTCTATGATAATCGATAACAATGAAAATGATGAAAAAATTTCTTCTTTAATTGATGAATCGACTGGATCATTTGGTGCACAATTTTTAATGGATTTCTACTATAATATGGATACAAATATGAATGATGATTTTCTCGTTGATACTTGGTCGAATTCTTTGATGTAGAAAAAATAAAATACCAAACTACAAATTCTAAAAAATAAATCAAAAGAAATAAGTTTAACCGTAGAAAAGAGTAAATTGAAGTAGATTATCGATCATTTATTTAAAAAAAAAAAATTAATTATCTTAATACAAATACCTAATTAAAGTTAAATACCATAAATATTTGTAAATTTAAAGTATTACTAAAAAAATTCTTTGTTCTTTTACCATTTAAATACTCAATTTTGTTAAACATTAATATCGAGTCTCGTTTTGTTTTTTATTTCGTTATGTTTTCAATAGATGACGCTGTTTAATTTAAAAAGAATTTAAAACAAAATCATATAGTAAAGGTTTTTCTCTTAATTGTGAACTTAATTTAAAGGAAAAAAATTAAATTTAAATTCAAAAACAGCTTATTAAATTAATTACCAGTTAAAATTTAATTGAAAAATCACATTGCATTATTTATGTTAAAGATAATTAATTTTTTTTTTTTATAAAATATTGAACATAATATAGAATCACAACAACACTTTTATAATATTTAATAATGACACCATAAATAATCAGTTAAATTTTTAAATATTCATGTATAATTATTATATTATATTTTAGTAAGTAAGAAAATAATGATAAATGTTTTACACAAATTATTTTTAATATGATATAACTTTCTTTTGCGAATGTAGAACAAAATTTAAAGCAAAACAAAGAAAATATTTTTGGAAACATAAAAAACAAACAAAAATTTGAAATATGGAAGTGATTTCTTTTTTACTTTTCATATTATTTTATTTCGTTATATTTTAAGTAATTTTTGATTCATAATATAAAGAAAACTAAAATGAAGATTTAAAAAGGAACTTCAATAATGTTATTGAATTTTTTTTTTCATATAACAAAATCAAATTTTACAACTTATGAAGGTTTCTTTTTACGAAAAATAATTAGATTTTAAGGAAGTTATATCAGAGATTTTATTATATTATATTTAGTTTAACAAAAGAAAGGTCTTGAAAATTTTAAAAATAAAAAATAAAATTCGAATGAGAATAGCAAAATACAAAATTTATTAACTGCATCAAACATTTTTGTAAAATAGTTTCAATAAAAAAAAACAGAAAAAAATAAATAAAAAAATATTTAAAACATAATTACATTAAGAACAAAATACAAAAAATATATACAAAAATCAAAAAAAAAAGTAAATAATAAGGAAAAATTAACAAAATATTTTCAAACAAATTTCGAAACCGTTTCACTTTATTAATCACTTAATTAATCTTGTTCGGTAATTGTGAATTAAAAACAAATCAAATCAAAAAGAAATATGTTTTTTACAAATATCTTATAAAATCGATAAGAAAAATATTTTGTTATATCTGAAAATTAAAAAAATTTTTAGAAATCTTTAGACATTAGTAAAATTAATTATTTTTGTTTAGAAATTACCTTAAAAGTAAAATTTGAAATAAATTTTCCAAATATTAAATTATTAAAAATTAAATTTGCTACACTTATTTCAATTATCCAAAATAAATATTTTGTTAATTTGTCTTTAATAAAAACTGAAAAAAAATAAATACTTGAAAAATGATAGAAACCACAGATAAAAATAAATTTTGTATTTATATAACACTTTAATATTGTATAAATAAAATTTTAGAATAGAATTTATACTGCCCATAAAATTTTCTCCGGTTAATAATTAAAGAATCATAATTATTTAATAATTGTGTTTAAAAGTTCTAATTTATTTTTTTTTCCACTAAAGTCAATACAAAATAATATGTAATTGAAAATTTAATAAAATAAAATACAAATTCATAAGATTTGTTTCTGAAAATTTTAAATAGAATAAAATAGAAATTTAATATTTTAATTCATTTCTGCTATTAACATAATTGAATAGAATCTTTTAAACATTTAATTATTAAATTTTATTTTAAAATTACTCAAATATTCTTTTAGATTTATAAAATACCAATACAAAGAAATTATATAATGTTTGTTTTAATTATATAAGGCAAGAATGTTTATTTTATTATTATTATTATTATTTTTTTTAATTTTAAGATTACATTTTTCTTTGTTTTGTTTTTAAAAATAGTGTATAATTTGTAAATCTTCATTTTATTTTTACACAAGTAGTTAGTTGGTGATGGTTTTTAAGTTATTATTTTTTTTTTTTACTATTTGTAACTTTTATGTAATTTAATTTTATTATACCTTGTCACTGATCGTAAATTTTACATTAATAATATCATTTAATTTTATAAAGGAATTTTAGAAATAATTCCAAAATAAAAGAAATCAATTTTAAATGTTCAATTTACGATTTATGAGTTTAATGTTTGTTTCTTCACAATATCGTAATTGCTGATTATTTTGATAATTTTATTATTCATTATAAAATTAATTTTATTCTCAATAATTATTTCTTGTTTTCGTTTGTGTTATTTTAATAGTTTTCTTTAATATTTTTCTATTCTTTAAATGTGTTCTTTGTTTATAAAATTATTTTGATAAAATAAAAAATATTTACTAGTGAATTATGCCGAACTAAAGTATAATAATTACTTTTGACGGGATTATTTTATAAAAAACACAAAGACTTTTCGAAGGGCTGTTTGTTATCAACTCTATTGAATACAGACAGTATCTTTTGAAAGATGTTTTAATTTTAAATCAAAATATTGGTCATTCTTAATTGTTCAAAGTTATTAAGTACCTACATCTATAATATTTATTATATAAAAAATTTATCAAGTCAAATAATCAGCAATACATTAGAAAAAAAAAATAAAGCAATTGTTAAATGTATTTTAATTTTAAAAAATGTAAAGAAACCATTTAATTATTTTCTTTTCTAATACCAATCTTAAATTCTTTAAAAATAATTCAATTACAATAAACAGCAAAAAATATTATAAATATAATTTCTAAAATTTAAATAAGAGTTTTGTAAATTAACGTTAATGAAACACATTCTAAGAGTATATAGAATTATCTTAAATTTTATTTTGTGAAAGTGATTCAAAACTTTCTAGAGAAAAGTAACAATAGCCTGATTTTCTTTTATGCTATCATTAATTTTAAAATTTATTCGATATAAATTATTAAATAAATTCTTCCATTTGTGAACAATAATTTTCTAATAGATGCATTTATTCTTAGTGAATTTTTATTTTGAATATAATTAACTAATTACCAAAATAGGGCGATATTGATTACAAAACTCAAAAAATATTTGTATATATATTTTTGCTGTATTTATTTAAGAAAAAAAAACCCAAATAATTTCTAAATTTCAATTAAAAATAATTAATTGATCTAATAAATCCTTTTAGTACCGATAATCCTTTAAATAGAAAATCATTAAAAATAAATAAAATTAAAAATAATTTATTTATACGTTGAATGTATAACAGTAAGTTGCTATGTTTACAAAAACAGAATAATATAACAGAAAATTTATTTAAATTTAGAAAATAGAAGCAACTTATTTCGTATAAAACACATTATGTACATATAATTAAAAAAAAAAACAAAATGATCTCAATTATTGAACACTTTTCATTTTATAACAAAGAACTTTTTAAAGTTAAACCAGGAAACAAAAACCGAAAACAAAAATATACGGAATATTAAAAAAAAAAATTAATTAATTTATAATATTCAATTAAATTTATTGAAATATCGTAAATGGTTTCTAAAGTTATAAAAGTGAAGAAAAAATGAAAACATTTTTAACTTTATTAGATTTAAAAATTTAAAAATTGGCATTAATTTTTTTATTTTCTTTATTATTTAATTTTAAGTGAAACAGACATACTTATAATTTCTTTAAAAATTGTAAAATAAGATAAAATATTTTAAATTTACAATTTTCTTTGTTTAAATGCCCATTTATTTTCAATGTTTCTCCTCCAAAAAACCCACAATTTCATTTTAATAACAATATAAAATATAATATTAAAACTTTAAAATACAAAAAGAAAAAATAGAATTTTACAATAATTAGAAAATGTAGATTGAATAACAATAAAAACAATATATTTTTTTTTTCATTTGCATTTAAATAAAAACACATAAAATTAAAATAAGTTTGTTATTAAAATAAAAGGAATGCCTGGATGTAATTTTTTTTATTTCACATGGGCAGAAAAACTAAAATATGTGAAGAAATGAAAATAAAAAAAAAAATTGATTTACTCTTTTGTTGCAAATTTATTTAACAGAATTAAATATAATAATTAATAAAATATGCACACAATTAAAAATTAATTACATATTTATATTTATAAATTTGAAAAGAAAACCAAATATTTTATGAAATTTAAGATCCGGTCAACCAAAATTTGCGAATTGATAATTTTGCAATTAGTTTTGAATAATATTTTTTTTGCAACAAAAAGAATAAATTTAATAATTGTTATAAATGTTAATATTAATAATAAAGATAATATAATAATAGAATCTAAGAACTAACGAAAACGAAAAAATGGTCAAACATTTTAATGACTATAGCTACTGTTTGGATTTTTGCAAAATATTGTAGTATGTCTGTTTAAAGGATTCGGATAAATTTTTTATAAACTTTATTATTGTGTTGATCAATTATTTGTCTTGTATTTTCAGAAGTAAAAATATTTACTATTTTACTACATTATAAATTTAAATACTAAAATAACTTTGTGTAAAATTTTAATTTTAATTTTATTTTATATATTTCATTATTTTTTTTTTTTTTGGATTTAATAAAGTAAAAATTTTTTTTTTTTTGTTTGATATAATTGTAAAAAAAAACTTATATTGATGTTTTATTTTCTATTGTTTCATTTCAGAATATTAAGATTTCTAATTTAAACAATTTTCCAGTGAGAAAAATTAAATTGCTAGCAAAATTTCACCTAAAAAACGTCTCTTTAAAGCCTGTTATATTCACAGTGTTAATGATTTGGTGGAAAATTTGTTTAGTTTAACAAAAATATTTTTTTGAAAAATTTCGAATAAGGGTCAATTATTATGAATTTCGGTTTTATTGTTATTTTGTAGAAATAAAAGGCCAATTTGTTAAAGCTCATAGACATTATATTTACAATAATAGACATTTTTAGTACTGCTATTAAATTTTCAATAATTGGATAGTACTTGCCGTTGCAATTGTGATATGTGTCTCTAGCACATACATATATGTATGCACAATGTGCATAATATAATGGAATACATAATATAAAAATAAATTGAATTATTCAAAAGAGAGTCTTCTAATAATTTTGATTTCGTAATTATAACCTTATGTACACATTGCTTGTATTCAGCTTTCAAAATTTTAATTTTAACAACTGGTAATCCAGAGCCAACTTTTGAATTTTAAGCTGTCAATAAGCGGACAAAAATGTATTAGCTTTAATTAAAATATTTTCACTTTAAAGTCGAATTTTCGAAAAAGAAGTTTACATTAAGAAGAGTAGTGTAAAATGTAATTCAAAATGAGGTAGAAAGGATATTTACATTTAAATACATTATTCATAGATAATCTGGCAACAAAGTACATATTTATTGAATTTCATTTAATTTGGTTTGTGTATAAACTATTGATCCAAATACAATTTTTTTTTTTAGAAATGGTAGCACTTAATTTGTTTCAGTTTCAAACCTTTCATCGTTAAATTACAACTGAGAATGCATTATGCTGACAATAATAAATTCTCTAATATTTCCCTATAGATGTCACTCCTACTAAAATGTATTTCAATTTTTGCCGCATGAAACGCTTTATTCTAGATTTGACATTTTATTATTTGACATCTAACTTTGTATAAAAAACTTGATTAAATGAATACACACACGAGAAAGTTGATATTATAATAAATAAATATGAAATTTATTTAGTTATTTCAATGTACATTAAATAAACTTAAATTATTTAAATGGAGGAACAATTAGAAGCTTATAGATTAAGAAAAAGGAGAAAAGAACGTTTTGATCAAATTAAAAGTAAAATAATTTCAATGATTCCTTTATACAGTGGAACTAAATCTGATACAACAATTGATTTGGAAGAAGTATTTGAATTAGATTTTAATAAAACCTTCTGTTTAAATTTATAATTTATTTTTTCAATTTTTAGGAGAAAAAACCAATAATTGAAGAAGAAAAAAGATCAGAATCGCCTGCATGTAGTGAATTAGGTTCAGATTATGTTTCAGAAGAGGACGAAATAATATTTCAAAAACCTCCAAATGAACCAGATCCAATTGTTCCTACTAATAAATATCTTCGCTATGTATATTGGATAGTCTTAATATTATTTTGGGCAACTTGTTATGCAATTGCATTAGAATTGAAATTCGGCATTGTATACTTAATGTTTTCAGCACTTTTTGGATTATATTTTAATACAAGAACTGGTCCTAAAATGAAAGGCGAAGTTAGTGCATACAGTGTTTTCAACAAAGATTTTAAAAGTATTGATGGAACTTTAAAAGCAGAGCAATTTGAACAAGAAATTCGTTATGGTTCAGGAACAGTTCGGTGATGTAAAAACTATAAATTAAGAAAAAATTCATTTTTTATAATTTTTTAAAGTGTATTCAATACAAATTGTGAAATTAAATTACACAAAGTGTAATTTAACATTGTAATAAAATTATTATAGGTCTTTTAAAGAAAATATAAAAAAAAATTTATATGTATGTATTTATAACGAAAAATTTTTTATTTCTAAAATTTTAAATAATTATTTTGCATGTTTCTTGCAAATTGGAGTTTATATGCTTACTGTTGATAAAATTTTTGCAATTTTTATAAGAATGGCTAAGAATTAAAAAGGATAACTAAAGCAAATAAAAATCATTTGAATAGTAAAATACAATTTTGTGTATGAAATAACAATATTTTTATTACATGAAAGTGCATTCCATTACTTCTATTCTTTAGATTAATACAAACTTTTCATTTATATCACTTACTTTAATTATTATTTATAATAGTTTTTCCTTATTTTAAAACACGTAGCTGTTCTACTTTTGTTTTACATTGGCTTTAATAAAAATATATTTTTTATAAATATCATAAATTTTATTTGGTTTTTTTCTCCTATCTTACAAAATTTTGTTATTTCTTTACATTTTTTTTTAAATTAAATTTTTATTTTAATTTTCCTAAGTAACGATTGCAAAAGCTGTGCAAAGATTTGTTTTCTCTGTTATGTTTGTCTTATTTTTATTTTTTTTTTTATTATATAAAGCATAGTTGCAGCATTATTTTAAACTAATTATATAATTACAAATGATAGATTAAGGTAATGTATTTTCATCGTTCTATTTAATTGGTAGGAAACATTTACCTTCAAAAATTTTCAACAGAATGTGTGCTTTTACTTATGATCTTCGTATAATTGACATCAAATCATATAATAAATAGGATAGTTTAAATCATATTTAAGGAACAGGTAAACTCAAATTGTTGGGTAGATCTTCCATCGCTGGTTCAGCAGAAAATTCAATTTATTCTATTCTTTTCAATTTAATATCGAAATGCTTAACATTTCTTGCAAAGAAATTGAAATAAAAACCAAAATTTTCCCATCAATTTTTTTTCCATATTTATTTTAAATAAGATTTTATGTTCAAGCTTTTCTTATTAGTTCATTTTATTTATATTTATCGACACATACTTATACAACCAAAATATGCAAATACATTTTTTTTGCTTAAACACAGAATATCAATGAACAGAAAATAATACATTTAATACAATGGTTTAATATTCCTACATAAAAATAATAAAAAGTTTAACTTAAAATAATTAACGAAAGCAAAAATACTGAGATACATTTATAATACAAAAATGTTATTAGTAATTTGCGGCATAAGTAAAATAAATTTTGTTTCTTTAAAAATTAAGTTTTTAAATTCGAGTCTATAGTAGCAAAGAATTTGATTTCTTTTTGATTTCTATACTTTAAATTGATTCACAAATTTAATTCGCTCAATTTAAGTACAATATTGCAATAATAAAAGTTAACATTAATTAAAATTATAATCTCTGCAAAGATCTATGATCTTTAAAGAGACAAAAACATTTATTTCTTCAAGTTTCATGGTAATTGTTTCTTTTAAATTTTTATTTACGAAACTTGAATTTAATTTCAATATGATTAATGTTTTTGAATGTTTGATTTTAATTTTACATTAAATATAATACATATCTACTGAAAATTCCTATGTGAAGTAATCGTGTGGTTTTATTGTTGAAATTAATTCCAAACACGTAAAAATGAATCCCACGAACCAGTTGCTACTGCTGTTCCATTTTCTGTAACACCTAAACACGAAACTCTATTTGCATGACCAACTAATATATCGGCACGTTCAGCTTTTACTGTGTTCCATATGTTGCAATTAAAGTCGTCATAACCAGCCAAAAGTAATTTTCCACTTTTTGAAAATGAGACCGAAGTAATACCGCACATGATATTTTCGTGTGAATATATAGCTAACTCTTGATCCGCTCGTATATCAAAAAGACGACAAGTGGAATCATCAGAGCCAGTCGCAAAAGCTTGTCCATTTGGAAAGAATGTAACAGCATTTATGTCGCTTTCATGGCCCTGAAATGTTTGTTTACAGGTACCTTCACGTATATCCCAAAGTTTTGCGCTTGCATCACATGCACCTGATATAAATGTTTTAGATTGTGGTGCTAGTGTTAATGCCATTACATCACCCCCATGACCGATAAATGAAGTTATTTGTTGTCCAGTCTCGATATTCCATAATCCACATGTCATATCGCCAGAACTTGTAATTATTTGGTTATCATCTATAAAACGGCAACATGAAAGGTAACCTGTATGACCAGGAAGTTCTCGACACACCTTTGCATTTCCTTCTCTCGTTTTCAAATTGTATATTGAGCATATGTTGTCAAGACCGCCACAAGCAACATAACCACCAGATGGAGCATAAGCACATGTCATTACCCATGATGAACGTAATGGAATTGCATACACTTTATTTGTTGTGTGTGCATCCCAAACTATCAACTTCCCATCTTGAGATGCGGACACCAAATGTTTTGAGTCACTACACCATTGCATAGCGTAAATTTTTGCTAAATGGCCACGAAGAGTGCGCCTTGTTCTCAATTGAAGTCTCCCAATTGATGGCATATTTGCGGTCATCTGTAGTAAATTAGCGTCGCAGACTGATTTTCTCGCATCGCGTATTACATTTTTTAAGGATTCTGCTTCCCTTTTCAATACTTCTATTTCATTCATCTTAATTTTTAAGTTATTTTAAAATTACCTTAAATTATTTATGAAATAAGAAAATTACTTTCGTTTCGCTGAATAAAAACAAAAATTTTTATATAGAATTCCACTTTGATTTCCTTGAATCATAAATTAAATGCCAAATGATGTGTTCACCCTTTCGTCTTAAGTCATTTACGACTTTAATTTTTTTTTTTATATAAAATTTATTAGAAGTTCAACAAATTTTTATTGCCGTTTTAATATTTAGTTGATATAATTCAATTTTTCGAACTAATTTTTCTTCGAATGACTAAATATTTTTAAATATCAATTGGTCAGCATTTTATTAATTTTAATAATTAAAAAATTATGTCTGGCATTGCGTACTGAGCTTATATTTTGTTTACATTAAATTTTTTGTGCGTGTTTTGTTTTTTTTTTTTTTTTCAAAGTTTGAAAATTAAAATGATTACAGCGCTACCTGTGATTCATACATTGCATTAAAATATCAGGGATGATTATTTGGTATGACTATTCCTATTTAGAATTAGTTTTTTATATTCTTGACAGCTTAAAAATTTAATAGAAAGTTTTTGCGTTGAAATACATTTCCAGCTGAGTCTGAGTTTTGATTTCAGTATGAGTAAACTTAAAGCATTTGATGCCGTTGGGAAGTTAATTATTCGGTGTAGTTTTCTTCTTACACTAGCGATATACATTTTGCCTTAATTTTATTCGTAACTTGTATTAACCGAGAATTATATGTATAAGTTGGTCTAAAAAGCTTATTAACATAATATTTTATAAATAATATTAAGGTGATAAAACAACCTTCCCTTGCAATACTGTATAGTTGATAGGGTATTGATTAGGCTTATTCTGATAGGTATTAATGAGGCGGACTATCGAATACCTAAGTGATATTGATATTGAACGTAAAAATTTCAAAAATTTTATTATAAACACGAATCATTTGAATAAATTGGTTTGTGTTTACAATAATAATATCGAACTTTTTACGATAAATATCACTATCACTTAGTTATTTGATTAGATATTCAGAATAAGCCCCAATATTAAAAGTAGGTATACGAAGTTTATTCGCAAAGTAAAGAAATTGAATTAGGTACATTGTTTCAATGTTACTAATTCGGATTCCTTTAGAAGTTGGAAAACTCTTATCTGAAATTTTCAAGTTCCCTAACATGTTATATAAGTATAGGTACATTCCTATACAATTAATATTCAAAATTAAAATTTTGATTTGATGTCAATGCTACATTGTAAGACCCATAAGAAAAAGCACAGTGGTTTAATCGTTTATATATGCATAATTATAATTATATGTACATATGTAATTATTATAGGTATAAATAAATTTTGAAAATTATAATAAATGAACTCAAGATTTGAAGTTTTCAATAAAAATAATATTTTTGCTCTTGTTTTTATTTTAAAACGACCTAGATATGTAACTAATATGAGGAAAGAATTAAAAATTATTGTAATTTATTTGTTAAAGATAATTTTACACAATCATATGTAATAATAGTCGGTACCTCTAAAATATAATAAACATAACAAATAATATAAAAAATCAGTTGCAGTGCAATTATACTATAATATTTTAAAATAATAAATTAATATTTTATATGGAATTAATTATATAATATTTTTGAACGAAAACTATTTTTTTTTGTTTGTTTATATATGCTATAATATTGCGTTACATAATATATTAATAATGAAACAAAAATATTTTCTCATTTTGTATCTTTTGTGAATTTTCATATTTTATATGATTTAAATATTAATAACAAACATTATTATTTAAAAATTTATGTATGTATAGGAAATTATTATAGTAGTAGTAGCAAATAATTTATAAATTATTTCTTTAAAATCCATCTTAATTTTTAAATTATTCAATTAATATCAATTCATTTTAGTTTATATTTGCAGTTATTGCGTTCTATATAGGAATTTAAAATACATATTTAAGCATTATATAGGACAAAAAATAGAAAAAAAAAATTAAATGTCTGAATAAATAAATTAATATTGTATTGATTTTATTATTTTTTGATAAATTATTTGAGATTAATTTATTCAAAATTAAATTTATACTGTTATTTTAGATTTATTATAGGTATTTTATTATATGGAATTATAAATTATGTCAATAAATATATAGTATTTTGAATTACAATTATTTTAAGGCAAACTCATACAAATGTATAGTTTTATCATCATTAATTAAAATTCAAAATTATTAGGTAAATAATATTATTTTAGGAATAATTTTTTTGAGCTATTGTGAGCTTAAATTCATTCAAATGCACTTAAACGCAGTTTTACAATATTCTAATTATAATAATTTGTTTCTGAACAGAATTTGTAAATTTTAACTGCAGTTTTATAAGTATACGCTTATAGAAGAAATAATTCGCTATTAAAAACGATATAAGAATATTGGTATATACGTCACACAAGCAAGTAATACTACTGTATATTGAATAATTATAAAATTAATATAAATTAATTTTACACTATAAATTTCATTTAACATTTTGCTCATTTATGAAAATTGTTGCGTCCAGAATAGCATCAGCTTTTTCGTTGCGTCCAGAATAGCTTCAGCTTTTTCGACTACTTTTAGAGGCATTGTATATACCTATAATTTTTAACTGGCAGTATATATCTTATTGTTCTTTGATTTTTTATACAAACATATAAACATGAATATTAACATAATCAAAATTCCATTTTCATATCAGTATTATTTCATTAACCTATATATAGAAAATAATATTATCAATATTTTTGGTTTATTTTTTAAATGTTGTAATTCTATTATATAGAATTACCATTTTTCTTCAATGTAAAATTAAATATATATTAATTTGCACAAATATATATACAAACTTTTATATTATTATTACTATTACTATGCATTTATCATATGTTTATTAATTAATTTTGGTATAAGATTTGTTTTTCATGTATGTATGTATGTACATATTTTTATAAAATTAATCCTTAAATATATAAATATTGATTCTTATAATTAAAATACATTAAAATGTCATTCACAATAAATTAATTTGTTTTTTTTTTTTTGTAATATTATGAATATTGACATTTTGTTGTCCATTATAATTCAAAATTTCCAAAAAAAAAATAATTGAAATCTATAAGAAAGTTGCCAATTACTGAAAGATATAGTAGGTTAAATAACATGGTAATTACAGATATGGAAGCAGTTTTGTAATATTCAAAAAATTTGATTAAAATTTTTCAATTATTGTTTTCATTTGACATTTTACAGTATAAACTCTAACAAAGGTGAATTCGCAAGGGACCAAAGTTTTTGAGCTGATTTTACGGGATAGACAGTTTTTGTTAAAATATAAAATTAAAAATTTTCTAATTTTTATGATCTTCACAATATTCATAATTTTCTTCAAAAGTGAGTTCAAAAGTAAATGATAATTTTTTTTCAACTTCAAAATATTTGGTTTCATATTTTTTGTTTTAAAATGGTGTCTTTTCCATTTGCTCACAAAAAAAACTTTAACATTTGAAATCAAAAACACAAAAATCAATTTTGGGATTGCTAGGCTCAAAATGTTAAGAAATGTTTAAATTATTCTGAATTGTTACCTTTTTCGCGTTTGAACAGTTCTTCCGTCTTTGCAGTACCAAATATTTTTTCATTAAAACTTAGTGATTTTGTAGTACCGACAGATTTTCACTTTTTATTTTTTTGAACGTGTACTTAAAATACATTAAAACCTATACAAATATGAAAATTTTACTTTATCTTTCGTCCCTAAAAATATGCAATTTTTTCCGAATTTTATTTTGAATTTGAGAATACATACAGCTTTATTACTCATATAAATTGTTGATTAAATATGCTCAGAGACAAAATCAAATTATAGTTGAGTTAAAATAAATTACTCGTATGAAAGATTGTTTTTGGAATTGGATCCGAACGCTTTAAAAAAAAGCAGTATTACAAATAGTGAGACCTGCAATATTAGTATTATATATGAACATATTATGTAAAGCTAAATAGAAAATTGAAGCGGTAAGTGGACAAAAAGGTTAACTTACATTTGCATTGTAACACATTTTTTCATTAACAAATTATAAAACTACAAATTTTTTTGTTACTTAACTGCTATGTACACTGTCCATCTATAGTCTTCTAGCTATAAGAGTAATAATACAATTGTAAACATATGAAATTTAATGATGTTCTTTTCGAAAAGTTGAATTTTCGTTAAAATATTAGTTAACCCCTTTGTCCACTTACCTCTTCATTATTAACAATTTTTATTCTAAGTTGTAGTTCAATCAAAATTATGAAAAATTTAACTTATATCACTTTAATTAAGAGAAAAATAAAGAAAAAAAGAGAGCAATGCATTTTTTGTATTCATACGCAGGTATTTATATTATACGAGTAAAAGGTTTATTGTTTAAGAATTGGAAAAAAAAGTCAAATTTTTATGAATTCATTGCATTATGCGGCATATTATGCAGTATTCTAAGAATTTATATATAATATATGTACACACACACACACACAACTTTACATATTATCTATACATAATATTTATTAAAATCAATTTATATGAAATAAATGATGCTATATATTAAAATTATAAAAGAATATTTATTTTCAAGGATTTTTCTAAACAAAAATTTCTTTGGTTTTTTAATGAAAATTTTTGCTTTTGTTGTTGTATTTGGGTTTTTGCTTTAAATTGAGTAAATTTTTAAATTTATATTTATATTCTATTTCTTAGAAAATACATTGTATTTTAAAAAGCTTTTATTTTTATTTTTTTTTATTTGTTTTCTATTATAATTTATAATAATTCTTTTATAAGCTATTGAAGCTATGCACTTTATTAAAATATTTTGCAGTTTTCCACTTTTTTTTTTTTGTTTTTTATTTATACGGATTTATACTATAATTTATTTATATACACGATTGTGTATAATATTTTGATATACTTTTATAATATTTGAATATATTATTTTATAAATTATCATTATAGTTTTGTTTTGTTCTGTTCTCTTTGTTTTTCATATATAAATTATAATTTAATATTAAAATTACATTTTTGTTTTTGTTCTTGTTGCTTTGTTGTTTTTTAAATATTATTTATTATATATATATATGTATAATATTAATTTGTAGTATTTTTGTGTTTTTTTTTTAAATTATTTTTTTTTTATTTTCTATAAAAAATTTTCATATACATATACATACACAATATGTTATAGTACTATACTATTCTTTTTTGTTTTTGGTTTTTTAATAATACACATTAATTTTGTTTTAAATTTTTCTTTAACATTTTGTTTTTTTCTAACTTTCTGTCTTAATCATTTAGTTTAGCTAATAAGGCTTTTTCTGTTGTTACTTTTGTATTACATTTTATATTTATATATTTTTATTTCTATAGAATATAATCAAACATTAATATTTTATTACTTTTAGAAAATGTATACATAGATAGGTACATTTATAATTTAAATTAAGGATATTTTTAAAATTATGTAATCATATTATAATAAAATAGGACAATATAGAATTTATTTTACTAATTACAATTTATAATTAAAAGTAAAATAATTTAAATGATTGTAAACAAATTATATAGAAATCTGGTTCAATCATTGAAAATAGTAGTTGTACAGTAATCCCTCGCATAATGTCACCTCGAAATCATAATTAGATTATTATTCGTGACTTTGAACTAAATTATCGCTTCGAGTTATTTAGTTTAAAGTCATAAATTTTTATGCTCAAAAACAACTTAAGCCAGTGATTCCCAAAGAGATCTATATAGACCCCCCAGGTATTCCTAATAGGGGTGTACGAAAAAATGTGAATTTAATTAAATAAGTTTTTTATTTAATTTTCTTACATCGTAGGTGTACCTTTTTACTGTTAGAAATTTAAAATCTATCAAAGAAAGCAGTAGGGGGGTCTATCAAAAATTGAAAAAGACGACAAATGCTTAACGAGATAAAAACATTTGGAAACCTCTGACTTAAGCGAAGGATTACTGTATATGAAATGTGAAAAATTAAAATTTTAAATTAATTAAATTTAAATTATAAAAATTTTGTTGTGTGCCTGTTACGGTGAAACAATATACGACTATTATCGATTTCAATTAATACGTGATATTGTACAAAAATATTCTTAATGAATTTTGTTTTTTTTAATGGCGCACAATATTAATTTATTATCGTACATGTTGTTTTTTACAGGTGAAGACGAAAAAATTAAATAAAATCTTATAAAAATATTTGTAATTATATTCCCGATTAAGGGAAAATGCCCAATGTGAGAAAAAATCCGATTTAATAAAAATCAAAATTCTTTACCTAGAAACTTAGAATTTTTTCCTCAAAACTTTTATTATGAAAAATTATATGAATGCAATTTTAGCATGAGAATGGCGTGTTCGATTGGTAGTATTGTATTTTCGAAAAATTAAATTTTATAAATTTTGTAATTGCCCTCTAAATTCTTTAAACATATCTCTCAGTGTCAAGGAATGTATTTTCATAATGGCGAGGTATATATGTTTATCTAAACAGAATATAAAATTTTATTGTTGACGTAAATGGCAATGTTTATAGAATTTTTGAATAAATTAATGTGTGAACAATTGAATAATAATTTGAAAACAGAATAAAATTCCTTTTCTTCTCTTATCGTCGTTTAAATTTTGCATTCCATCTAAATCAAAAAAATCATTTCATTTTGATGTTGTCCTGAAAACTTCTTTCAATTTATTTAAAAAAAAAAATAAATTTTGTTGAGATCATTTTAAAAATTCTTTGAATATTATTACGATAAAATTTCTTAATTTATATATGAACACTTTACGAAATTGTTATCCTACAAAGTACAAGGATAAAATAATAAACCAAAAAATTTTTTTTTTACATAAAGAATTTACAAGCATTAAATTATAAATAATGCATACATATTTTTTATTAGAAATTATTATTTTTATTATCTATGCATAAATGGAAATGTTGAGAAATACCGCAAAAATTTTTACATATAAATTAAGGATTTTTTTCAAGATTATACGTTTTATTAATAATAATAATAATAATTATAACAAGGGTATAAGTAAAAGGATATTATAGAGGTGGGGAAGAAATTGGAATGTTAGCATAGTAAAAAAATTCTTTGAAAAGAAAAAAATAATTCGAACAAGTTTTGAAATGAAATTGAAAATTTAATTAAATTTTTTAATAACTAGAGAAATTCAAACACATGTTTGTATATATAGTATATTTGTAATACATATTATACATTCATTTTATATATATTTTCATATTATCTAAGGAATTTTTTTTTTTTATTTTTACTTGGTTTTTTGTTTTTTTGGTTTTCTTTTTCACTAATTACGAGTATTATTTATTAATTATCTTCAATTATATATGTGCATATTATATATATGTATATATATATAAAAAATAAGATATATGTAAAAAAAGAAATAAAATTTCACATATAGAATTCTTGTTCCATTAATAAAAATTCTCTTGTACATGATGCCAATGAATGCTAGCATTTTGGTAAAAATGAATTACGACTTGGTAATAGACATAATAAACTTAATGCCATTACCATATGCCATACTGAATGTACAATATGATAATTTTGTTTTGTTTGTAGGAATGCATAACAAACTAAACCGATCATAACTAATACAGCCCCAATTGGCATATATATTGTTAAATATTTACGTGATGGAAACCATTTACGTGTTTTACGACATCTCATACCCCAACTAACCGATATTAAACAAAGTCCAGTTAATGCTGGCGCTAAAAATACCCATAAACTTTGTTTATTTAATTCGGTACCGAATGCTAAAACAATTGCACCAATCATATGTAATAGTGATACAAATTGTTGTCTTATATGTGCCATTGCAATTAATGTTACCCATATTGCTAATAGGCCACAATAGAAATCACAAAATTGTAAAACATTTATTTTAACTAAACAAAAACTATATTCATCTTCACCTGAATCGCATGCATGATAGAATATTGAAAAGAACATTGCAAAAAAATATATCACAGATTCAGTATAATATTTACGTTTAACTGCAAAATATATACTTGGTATAAATAATAAATTACTTAATGTTAATAGTAATGATGCAATTAATATTGATATTGATGATGGTACTTGTGAATCTTCAGTACAATCCCATCCACGATATCCTTTAATACAAAGACATGTTGAAAATACAAAACCGCCAGACATATAATGATAACAACGTCCATATCTACCACAACGTCCAGCAACACATGGGCTAGATGATATTGTAAATACGAGTGAAGTATTACACGAACTATCTGTAGCAACACTTTGTTCGGTTGCAAATTTATGATGTATTTCAAATTTTTTTGTCATTTCAATATAATCATCAGTACATTTTGAATCCATGAGACATTCTTTAATTTTAAGAGTTTCGGTTTCATTCATTTGTTGAAAGCATTTTCTATCATCAATACATTTTTTATAATATTCAATGAAATGAGCACATGAACATGGTAATTTCATATTATCTAACATTTTTGAATATTTCTTTACAAATTCTTTAACACTATCGATTATTGTTACGCGTGCGGTAGTTTCAGCACCATGACAAAATAAACCTACTGTTATATACCACTGACCACTTTCTGGGAATGGTACATGTATTAGACCAGTACTTGTTTCTGCATCGGTGTTGTTGATAATACCAGAAGCAGGCAATGATTTTCCACCATAACGACATTTGTCAGGCCATTTTGGTTCACCAGGTTCACCTAATCTCATACAAATAATGATTGTTTGATTGCTTCTTGGAGTCGATGATAATGATTGTGATTTGTCATCAGCATTATTATTTTCTGTTTGACTACCTTCAGGGTATAATTCAATATCTTCATTATTGATTTCTCCATTATTTAATGATCTATCAACTAGTTTCTGAGCTAATATACCGTTTTTGATGTCATCATTTGTGTTGCCGTTACTTTTATTATTATCTTCTTCATTCGATTTATTCCCGCTCTCAAGACGTTTCATTGATAAACCAAAACTTAATGTTCCTCCAATATCGTAAACATCGCCTACTTCAAATCGAAAACCAACTGGGCTCCCTGCTGTTAAATTTAACACAGTAGGTACTGTACCATTTTCATCTGGAATTAAATCATAATCAAACATAAAGAATTCACGATATGTTTGACGTAGCAGAGGATAAAATTCAATATTTCTAAATTTTATTGATTTTCCAGGTAATTTATTAGGATTAGTTTTATGATTTTGGGTATTATTTTTATTATTTACATCATTTTGAGATTCATTTTCAATATGAAAATTTAGTTGAATTGAGTAGTTAATCTCATACGATACAGGATTGTCAGACATATTATTTAAGGTATCATTTAAATTTTGTATATTACGTGCAATTCCTTGGACTGTTCTACTTGATATAGTGTTATAGTGTTTTATGTTTTCAGTATTTTTCCAACCCGTATTAGGCTTGTTTTCATTGATAGATGTTTTATTAAAATTAAAATTAACACTATTACCATTATCATTATTATTGCTAGTATCAAAATGATTATGTTTTAGACTAGCATGTTCTATCGGAGCTGTTACAGACAATGTTGATGGTGATAATGTTGACGATGATGATGATAATGATGATGATACTGTTGTTATTGAAGATGTAGAAATTGGTTTTGTTTCAATTTTATGTTTTAAAAATTTTATATCAATAAAATGCCATGTACCAGATTGTACATAAAATTCAAATGAAATTTCACCAGTTTGATTTGGTTTTATTATTGCATTATGAATAAAATTTGTATCGCTTGGTAGTGCATTTGCTTGTACATAAAATCCCAAATCTGGACATTTTAAGCATATTGAATCAATTATTAAACGTGCTGTTACAATACCAACATTACGTGGTACATAAAATTTATAGCTATTTATTTCAGAATCTTTTGTAGCAGCTGTTGATGTTGTATTTTTTGTCCCTGTTGTATCATCTGAATTTGAATCTTTTGTATTATTTGAATTTATGTTATTAGAATTTGTTCTTTCAGTGTTTTTATTTCTATTTGAACTTGTTATATTTCCAATATTATTACTGTTGCTGTTATTTGTTGCCGATGTTACTACTGTGTTGGAATTTGTTAATGTGTTATTATAAATTTGTCCACTTTGCAATATTGTTGGTAATATTCGAGACACTGACATTTCAGATAGTAACAAAGTTTCACATGATGCCGCTAAACCTTTAAAATAGAGAAGAAGAAAAAAAGTGAATGCCATAGAAATTATTGTTTTTTTTTTAATAATAAAATAAATTTAGTTAGGACGAAAAGAATATTCAATTTTGATTAATCGCTTTTTGACATTTAAAAGTGGTTAAAATTTTTTTAATGTAAGAGTACTTTATTAGAATGTTTATATATAACAGTCTTGTCTGTGTATTGTTGTTTGATGGTATATTTTTTTCCTTTTAGTTCTGCCTACTGTGAAATATGCAAAAAAAATAGCGACAAAATAGTCTTACAATATTCTTTTTATTAAAAAACTTGGGATTTTACGATCAAATGATTTTTAACGTAAAATTAACACAAAAAAGTCCCACCTGGTAATTGTGTTATCATAGCCGTTCGTTAATAAATTACCTTCACAGCTTACCAAAATTCATAATATTTTCCAAGAATATCTTTGATTCACAAATTGTACAATATTTCGTAAATCAAAAATTATTTCTTTAGGAGCATTATTAATTTTCCATTGGGTTGGTGTACTGGTTCTTTGTGTAAGAGATTTGTAAATTAATGGATTTAATAAAATTCTTCTTAAAAAAGGCTCTTATATATAAATTTGTTCTACTATTTATAATTTAGTAGGTACACATGTTTGTATACCGAAACTGCATATTATTTTTCTTCTCAAGGATAAACTTTTCAAAATATATAGAATTTTACCTTACTTGACAGGAATTTTATCAAATTTCTATTGATTTTTATTTTCAAATTTTCTATTTCATTTTTTAAATTATAAAACTATTTTATATTTTTTTTTTTTTATAAATTTTTTATTATTCGAAAATAAAACACAAATTTTTCAAAAATTTATGCTATTGTTTCTGCTTCAGTTATTGTTCTAAACAGTTTATTTAAGCAATAAATAAAGTTTTCTATTTTAAAAAATAAATTTTTTTTTATTTTTGAATTATAAGATTGAAATAAACTCTGTATATAACATAGACCTACATTTTACTTTATTATATTTGTGTATACATACATACACAAATACTTATTAAAAAAAAAAGTTAAAACAATTTTCAAAAATATTTCACATAAACTTATGACACACAATATAATAAATTGTCATAAAGTCCTGTGCCTTATAGCCTTTTTAATTTCTGAGTATTCATATTAAAAAATGTCAACATTTTAAAATGAATAAAAATGAATTTTTGTTACTAACTACATATGTACATTTATGTATGTACATATTTTGAGTTTATTACACAGTATGTCTTGTTATAAAATGATTGGATTTCATTCTCATTCTATGCATATTATAATTTAAGGTGCACTATCCTTATGAAAATTTTTGTTTTATTTTTTTTTTATAATAATATGAAAGGCATAGTAAATACCAACGCACATACATATATGTGTATACATACATACATGTTTTGTCTTTATTTTATTATAAAAACTAATGAATTCTATAATGAACAGGGATGAAGCAAATTTTTCGAAACGGGCAAAAATTTGAAGAGATTCAAAATTTTTATGTGTGAAATTATAATTTGAATTGAATAAAAATTTTAAAGTAAAGATATAATATTAATTAATTAAATTGGGTTCAGATTGGTTAGATTAGATTTTTATAATTTTCATATTAAAAAATAAAATTATGGTTTGTTGTGGTATTATAAAATGTGCGTGAAAATTTGCTATTAATGTTTAACAATATGTAAACGTAAAAAAAAAAATTGGAACCCATAATTTTATAAATAAAATATTTGGTTCTTAATCCTTTACGTTATAAAAATTGAATGTAAATCAAAAAATAGTCAAAAAATATTCGGAAGCCGAAATGAGAGCAAATACTCAAAAATGAAATTTACAAATATTGCATACATTTAGGATGATAATTAAGAAAAATTGAAGGATCATTTTAGGTTAATTCATTTGGACCAAAATTATAACTCTGCACACAATTTTTTCTAGATAGAAAATCGTAATACGTTTTGTTATTATATAACCTGAACAATATATAAAAGAATGAAAATTAAGTATGTGTGTATATATGACATAACTTAGATATGATAAAAAAATATTATAGGCTGTCATTATAACAGTTTCGCACTATCTATTTCACTGTCTATTTCGGAATTTGTAGAGATCTTCGCAAAAATTCAAATGTCTGAAATCAGTAGATTAATTACAAAGCAAAAGTTATAAATTGTAGTATCTAGTAATCGCATGAATGATACGAATTGTAGTGGGAACTGTGGGTATCACATTCATGTTAAAATTGTTTGGACAGAAACTACATATAATAAATTTTTACATTTTAGCTAAAATATTTAAAAAATCACATAAAATATTTAAGAAAATTTTGCAAGATTTGTGTTTATAATTGTTTTACATATTTTTAAAATCGATTAAAAACTCATGTTAACAAAAATGATGTTAAAAATAATTTGAAAACTTTTTATTTTAAAAGTTTTAATAAATAAAATTTATTTTTTTTATAAATAAAATTTGTATTCGCCACTAGCAAAATTTCAATGTAATATTTTGTTTTTTATTTTTAGTTTTCAAATTTTAATAATTCGTTTTTTTCTCTTCTTAGTACTCAAAACCTAAATGACTCAAGCAACATTGTGTATGTACATATGTTTACTACATATATAATAATTATGTATATATGTGTATATGAAAAAATCATTTGAAATAAAAAATTCAACAAAAAACAAAGTTTAATTTAGTAAAGTTGATATTTTTATATGATCATAAAATGAATATTCTAAGGATACTAAAAAAAAAAAAAATTTAAAAATGTTTTAATTATTATCTAAAATTTCACCATAATTATTTAAAACCTTATTTAAACAAATTACATATTTTTGTATAATATTAAATTTCTTTATAAAATTAACCTGTAAGGAATAAAAATAAACTATAAAGAAACCTTTTATAAAAATGTTGAAAATAAAATCATGTAAATAAAATTAAATAATATTTTCTTTTTTAAAAGTTAATGGCCGGTTAGAGAGTAACTCAAGTGTTATTTTTTCTTTTTAAATAAATAAAGTTCTTTTCGTAATTTTTCTTTTGAAAACTATTTATTTTTTTAAGAAATATTTTTAATATTGTAGAAGTAATTGTTTATTTGTATGTTTAATATGAAAAGTCCAATTATTTATATTAAAGGACAATGAATTGAAGTGTGGATTAATTTTGTGCACATGCTATAAAAATTATTATAAAAAGGCATGTATAAATGTTGTCCTTTTTTTGTCAGTTTTTAAGTGAAATATTGAAAGTATGCCGAATATTATTAATTTAATTGTTTTGAAACATTTTGTTTAAGAAATATTTTTAAAATAAAATTAACGTGCTAAATGTGTATTTGAAAAAATTTGTAATAGAATGAGTCAGATTTTCATTGAAATCTCTTTATAAGAAATGCTTAAGGAAATTTTCTAGAAGTGACAAAATTAACACTAGATTGCCCAAAGAAGTCATTTTGACTGCTTTTTAATTTCAATTAGAAAAAAAATATTATGTATGCAATGATATAACTTCATAAAACTTTATGAATTTTTGTATAACGTAAAAGTGTGTTCATTGATAATTTATTCTAGTTACCTCCCCCCTTCCCTCATTTCCGGTATATATATATGTTATACCTATATAGCCCAAAAGCAGTCATATTGAGTAAATTTCTTATATGACCATTTCGGCTTAGAATATTTCAGTATGGCAATAACATTTATTTCGATGACCTTTTCATTATGGCATGCAAGTACATAATAAGTTGTCGATTTGAACGTGCTTTAGCTAGATAATTTGCAGTGGCTCAATAATTGTTTTTCGTATTGTGATGAGATTATGTTTATTTTATATCATTTGCGTTCTAAATATTTAATAGTAACTTATTATTTAACTGTAAGTAATATGACAAATATTAAAAATGAATTTTGAACAAATTTTTTTTGTACATTAGTAGTTATTCTTACACAATGTAGTAATTTTGACTGATTTTGGGCAACATAGGTATATGCAAAATTTCAGTCTTTCTAGTTTTAAAAATAATTTTGTATAACATATTTCTTATATAAAAACATAAATATGTATTATAGACGCTATAAACTATAGGTATTATTACGGGAAATTATAAAACCATGTAGAGAACGAATACCCTTTAGCCAAGTTCTTTATAACTTTCTCGCATCTATGTGTATCTGAATAGGTTCCAGTTTTTAAAGTCTAAACGAGTAATGCTTCGGGTTAATTTCTTCTGATACATCTTTTTTAGTCCGTGTTTCTCGATTCTATATGAATAAATTTTCATTACATATAAAAAAATACCAATACTTTTCGATTAAGCAAAAAGAGGAATTGCAATAATTCGAAGATTTAGAATTTTTGGCATTATATTTAGAAAAATTCGCTAAAATTAAAATTTTTTTAATAAATCTTCAACTACTGAACTTTTTGACGATAATTACATACAATACTAATCCCATAAATATTATTAAAATATTAATAAATTGCTATTGCTGTTATTTCCTGTGAAATGAAACATTTCTTTTAACCTTTTTGTTATGCAGCTTTGTCACTTATACAGTCACTTTTTAACATTAATTTTTTTATAAAATTGTAAAATAATTTTAAAATGGTCAAAGCCTCGAGTTAAATTCAATGTTGATGTCGAAATTTTTGTATATTCAAATTCATTATAATATTAATTAAACTCCATTTGTTTTATTTTTTTTTTCTTATAATTTGTTTTAATGTATACAACTTAACTTTAATTATAAATAGAAAGTCAATTTACAGGAAAAACCACAGAATCATTGTTTATATTTAGAGTAAGTTAAAATGGTATTTTGCTTTTTAAAAATATTTTGTATAACAATAATACGTGTTTAAATACTTATATAAAATATAAAATATATATATATATATATATATATATATATTTGTAAATGCATGTAAATTATCCATAATTTTAGAATTACTATACAATTAAG